CCGTCAGAGCGGTACCTATTGATCTACTCACATTTGCATGTTTTYGAACTGCTAGGTTGGCAGAAGCTAGGGCTACCAGCGGAAGCTCACGCCGCTCCCCGGAATCGACCCTGCAACCTTTTGGTCAACAAGCTCAGCAGCTAAGTGCTTTAACCCACTGTGCCACTGGGGGGGGGGGCTAACCCATTACACCCCAAATATAATGCCTCTGAAAATACCATGCCTCTGATACAGAAAAAAAGGGACTCGTGAAGACAACTAGAATCCCATCTTAAACATGGTATTGTTTCCAGATCTTTTGCATATGGTTTCCTATGGGTTACCAACAAAATGGACCTTGCATTGTTTGATGGGAACCAGTATGCAAAGAACGTGAGACCGAGTATTTTATTGTCCTAAGACTATATCCAAGACTAGATAATCACAGCAATTTTGAATAGCACATTTCCATATGCAACTACTTTGTGAGACCTGCATGTCATATTTAATTTATTTACTCATTCTCTCCTTCTCTCTTTATAACTGGGAGTTTTATTCATTTTGAGTATGAGTTTATAGAACAGTGGTTCTCAACCTGTGGGTTCCCAGATGTTTTGGCCTTCAGCTCCCAGAAATCCTAACAGCTTGTAAACTGGCTGGGATTTCTGGGAGTTGTACGTCAAAACACCTGAGGACCCCCAGGTTGAGAATCACTATTATAGAAGGTCTACTCCCACATGACCTAAAGGACATGGTAACTTGGTGAGTGTATTTAACAACTAACAGGCTCCCTCTCTGTGTATGTGTGTAGGCAGGCCTCTTCAACCTGTCGCTCTCCAGGTGTTTTGGACTTCTGCTCCCAGAATTCCTGACCATTAAACAAGCTGGCTGAGGCTTCTTGGAACTGGAGGCCACAGGTTGGAGAAGCTTGGCTGTGGGGCATTTCGCCTGATCTAGGTAACACTAGTTTATTATAACAATGATTACTGTACCCATCTGCTCCCCATCTCCTTGCATATTGTTTTCATGTTTTATCAACAAAGATTACACCATAGTTTCCTTCCTGATAATAAGAGACAATTACTTGTTACATGTAAACATAAGTGACATAAATAAACCAAGCAGGAAGTGCAGGTCCTCTTCTCAACAGAAAAAAATAATGGGTTCTGACTAACCTACAATTGAACAAGCCACATGATACATACATATGCATGTACCTGGTTGTTTACAATTGAAGCAGCCACATGATATGGATAGTCGCAGATATTCCAGTAGCCAGGACACAACAACAATGTATGCATTGTCACAAATCAGCTATCAAAACACATGGCAAGACTTCAGAAGGATGATAAAATCTTGGCTGTGGGATCGAGCCTTTGGGACTGTGTAATGAGGCAGCGATAGGAACTCTTAGTATGCCAACTAGATTTGATATGTTGTTTAAGACAGTTTTAAACAGAGGATTTTAACATCAATTTATTTATTTACGACATTTATATGCTTCCCTTCTTATCCCGAAGAGGACTCAGAGCAGCTTACAAGATACATATACATACAATAAGATCGTCTGGAGAGGCCCTGCTCTCGGTCCCACCATCATCACAAGCACAGCTGGCGGGGACGAGAGACAGGGCCTTCTCAGTGGTGGCCCCTCGGCAATGGAATGCCCTTCCTATGGAGATTAGATCGGCTTCTTCGCTTTTATCATTTCGGAAAAAAMTCAAGAGCAGGCATTTGCGAATACTGAGTAACGGACATAAGAAYGRAATCAACTACAAGATGGATTGGACATTATTTTAATGAGTATTTATTGAATTATGTTTTATTACAGCTGTTATGATTTTATTGATGTTAAACTTTTTATATTGTAACTGTGTTTTTGGTGGCACTGAATTTTGCCTTGTAAACCGCCTCGAGTCGCCGGAAGGCTGAGAGGGGCGGTATACAAATACTGTAAATAAATAAATAAATAAATAAAATTATTAGCATAGTACAATATCAGTATTATATATTACTAAATTGTACTACACCATTATATTGTAATATTATTAGTAATATTACAAGCAATATAAAATATATAATTATATGGTATTATTATTAGTAGTATTATATTGTATTACATTATAATATTATAAATACTATATGTATATACAATATATTATGTTATATTATTAGTAATTTTGATAAGTGATTTTAATGCTTTTGTATGTGTATAGTCTAGTATGTTTTGACATCAAATGTTTGCCGTTTATATGTTGTGCTTTGCCCTGAGTCCCCTTTGGGGTGAATATAAATGTTTTAAATAAATAAATAAATAAATAATGTTCTGAAATACTCACCTTGTCCCACCCGCCCATGCCACCTTCCTGATACCCTGCGGGAGGTGGCAAGGAAAGGGTCCCGAAAGGCTATAGCCTGACACAATCTTCTTATGGCTCTATCTGTCCCCACCCCATATCAAGAAGAGGGAAAGCCAGGCAAGCAAGAATCCATGTTCATCTTTTCCCACTATCCCCCTGTCATATGGGACAACATGCTGCTGGAGACTTTCTTCCCCCAGATACTTAATTTTTAAACACAGATCTTGCAGTGGGGAGAAAACTGACTTAACTATTTGTCCTTCTTTGTGAATGAATAATGCAATACAACACATCCTGAGTTAGCATTAAGCTCCCTGCTACTTCTCAATATGCTCGGGGGTTCCGACTGAATTGTGACTTACTGTGACAGCTGGCCAACAAAACCAACATTGGGTATGCATTTAAGTTTTGCCTTCTGGTTGCTGCTTCTTCAAAAATTGAAAAAAAAAGTTTACCTGGTCACAGTAAACGTTTTAGGCTTACTTGATTATCATAGAATCATAGAATCAAAGAGTTGGAAGAGATCTCATGGGCCATCCAGTCCAACCCCCTGCCAAGAAGCAGGAATATTGCATTCAAATCACCCCTGACAGATGGCCATCCAGCCTCTGTTTAAAAGCTTCCAAAGAAGGAGCCTCCACCACACGGGGCAGAGAGTTCCACTGCTGAACGGCTCTCACAGTCAGGAAGTTCTTCCTCATGTTCAGATGGAATCTCCTCTCTTGTAGTTTGAAGCCATTGTTCCGTGTCCTAGTCTCCAGGAAGCAGAAAACAAGCTTGCTCCCTCCTCCCTGTGGCTTCCTTTCACATATTTATACATGGCTATCATATCTCCTCTCAGCCTTCACTTCTTCAGGCTAAACATGCCCAGCTCCTTAAGCCGCTCCTCATAGGGCTTGTTCTCCAGACCCTTGATCATTTTAGTCGCCCTCCTCTGGACACATTCCAGCTTGTCAATATCTCTCTTGAATTGTGGTGCCCAGAATTGGACACAATATTCCAGGTGTGGTCTAACCAAAGCAGAATAGAGGGGTAGCATTACTTCCCTAGATCTAGACACTATGTTCCTATTGATGCAGGCCAAAATCCCATTGGCTTTTTTTGCCGCCACATCACATTGTTGGCTCATGTTTAACTTGTTGTCCACGAGGACTCCAAGATCTTTTTCACATGTACTGCTCTCGAGCCAGGCGTCCCCCATTCTGTATCTTTGCATTTAGTTTTTCCTGCCAAAGTGGAGTATCTTGCATTTGTCACTGTTGAACTTCATTTTGTTAGTTTTGGCCCATCTCTATAATCTGTCAAGATCGTTATGAATTCTGCTCCTGTTCTCTGGAGTATTGGCTATCCCTCCCAATTTGGTGTCGTCTGCAAACTTGATGATCATGCTTTCTAGCCCTTCATCTAAGTCATTAATAAAGATGTTGAACAGGACCGGGCCCAGGATGGAACCCTGCGGCACTCCACTTGTCACTTCTTTCCAGGATGAAGAGGAAGCATTGGTGAGCACCTTCTGGGTTCGTCCATTTAACCATTTTGCATTAAGCAATTTTATAAGGGTCCATGAAAGTGATCTGGGAGCTCCAGGCAGACAGAGAGGACTAGAGTTTCAGTTAGTCTCAACTAGAGCTGTTATTGTTGTATTCCTAGACTTCCAACCCATGGTGAAAAAAGGCAAATCAATATTGGCAAAATTTAAATCGAGAGGGTTTACTTCTCTATTGCCTTCCATTTAGACTATGAGAATGGGACTAGCTCAAGATCACCCACTGGATTTCTATGACCAAGCAGGCATTTGAACCATAGTCTCTGAGTGTCCTAATCCAATACTCAAACCACTACACCACACTGGCTCTATAAACTAGAGCATACATATTGAAACGGGATTTGCATAAGTGGTATTTCATCATTCAACTATTTTGATTCAGCAGCTCCACTTTGGTAATGGACTGAGGGCTACAAATCCAAGGAGCAGACTCCAAGAACTGGGTATAGCAGAAGTTGATCCAACCATACCTCAAGGTCTTCATTTCTCCTGAATTTTAACCTACAGTTAAAAGAGATTAGAGCAGGAGTCCTCAAACTAAGGCCTGAGGACCGAATATGACCCTCCAAGGTCATTTATCCAGCCCTCGCTCAGGGTCACCCTAAGTCTGAAACGATTTGAAAGCACACAACAACAACAACAACAATCCTATCTCATCAGCCAAAAGCAGGTCCACACTTCCCACTGAAATACTAATAAGTTTATATTTGTTAAAATTGTTCTTCATTTTAATTATTGTATTATTGTAAAGTGTTTTTTGCACTAAAAATAAGGTATGTGCAGTGTGCATAGGAATTCATTCATGCTTTTTTCAAATTATAATCCAGCCCTCCAACAGTTTGAGGGACTGTGACCTGGCCCTCTGTTTAAAAAGTCTGAGGACCCCTGGATTAGAGGAAAGTGAAGACCAATGCCTTGATGTCATGGGAGAAAAGACTGGCTGTAACTGTGACTAATCATAATTGAATCAAAATTAATGATAATAGCAATGTGTCTCCATTCATGGGAGGCATGTGGGTAAGGATCATCTTGGCTTCCTTCTCTCCACTGGCTGTTGAAAACCCATTTGCCTTCAATGCCAAATATCAGAAACTGACAAAGAGCAGCTGCCATACCATATTGTGGATGATGTTGGTTAGAGTCCAAACCACAGGGACGCTGAAAAAGGGGATGCTGAGGAGGATGACGTGTAGAAGGCCGATGCCTAAGACGTAAGAGAGCCAGATGCCCCGGCTGTTCATGACCCGAGTGTTCGGGTTCACTTCACTGTGAGCCGTGCCCACATTCATGTTTCCAGATTAGCAGCCCTAGAAAGAAAGAAAACAAGGTCACAAAAGTGGGTTAGTAGGATAGCCAATTTACAATTGCATTCTCTCTCTGTGTGTCTCTGTCTCTCATACACACATATACATCAGTAGGAGAACATGGGGGGTAACTAACATGCTTGTGGAGAGTGAAGGCACAGAGGTGACTGGCCTTTTGGCCTCTTCCAGATTTGCAGGTCCACAATTGGCTTGTGTTTTAAGGCAGAGCTTGAACATAAATGCTGAACTGTCTGAAACTGGCTGTACACAGATGATATTTGGTACTAGGCAGAGAATTCAATTCCTTAAATATCTTAGGACTTCATTAGACAAAGCTGGGGAAAGTGGGGAAAATTGTCTTTATGCGTGTAGAATCATGTTCTTTGTGTGGGATTCCATCTTTAAAGTAGACAGAATCTCACATCACACAGGATCACCTCCTCCTGCCTCAACCAACCCACTTAGGATCATAGAATCAAAGAGTTGGAAGAGACCTCATGGGCCATCCAGTCCAATCCCCTGCCAAGAAGAAGGAAAATTGCATTCAAAGCACTCCTGACAGATCGCCATCCAGCCTCTGTTTAAAAGCTTCCAGAGAAGGAGCCTCCACCACACTCTGGCAGAGAGTTCCACTGCTGAACAGCTCTCACAGTCAGGAAGTTCTTCCTAATATTCAGATGGAATCTCCTTTCTTGTAGTTTGAAGCCATTGTTCCGCGTCCTAGGGCAGCAGAAAACAAGTTTGCTCCCTCCTCCCTATGGCTTCCTCTCACGTATTTATACATGGCTATCATGTCTCCTCTCAATCTTCTCTTCTTCAGGCTAAACATGCCTAGCTCTTTAAGCCGCTCCTCATAGGGCTTGTTCTCTAGACCCAAGGCACTGTTCTTCAGACAGATATCACTTCTGGGATTTTTTTATTTTCCCTCTTAACCCCCTTACTTTAGGAGACCCAAGGCACCATTCTAACTTCCTATAGTTGGTAAAAGAAAATAAGAAAATGCAGCAATAGCAGAAACTATTCCGCACTGGCAAGTCTGGCAGATCGTATCCCATATGTTTTTAAGCGCTTTCTCCCATTTCCAGGCACATCAGGAGATTAAAAAGACTATTTCTACCCAGCTTCAATTTCCCCCATTTCTCCACAATTCTGACACCATGGATGACAGCTGGAAGTCGGTCTGCATCATATGATGAGTTCCGTGATACTTCGTCTATGAATGGGGGAACTTGCATGTAATGAAATCCTTGGATGGCAGTTTTTAAAGTTCACGTTCCTTATGGGATCACAAAATAATGAAAGAGACCACAAAGGCCATCCAGTCCAACCCTCTGCCATACAGGAAAGCACAATAAAGGACCCCGACAGTTGGCCATCCATCTTCTGCTTTAAAAAATCATGAAAGCAGGCTTGGCAGCATGTGAAATCTAAGAAGCATGCGAGAAGCAAATAAGAGCAACAGATTGCCAGAAGAGAACAGGATTAAGTCATCTCACACATCTCACTGCCATTCCCAATGACTAACAAAAACAAAAGATGCAGAAATGTGCATCAGCAATATGATAAGAACCTTTTATTTTCTCAGCTCCAAGCATTATCAGCTTCTGTCTCTTCCAAATCTTGGAAAACGAGTTGAAGAAATTCATACAAAGTGAAGCTGGGTTCCAGAAGCAAAATATGAGAAATGAATCTAAGTGACAGGGAAAAGGTGCAATGGATCACACTCTTCTTTTTCTGTGTCAGGAGCGACTTGAGAAACCGCAAGTTGCTTCTGGTGTGAGAGAATTGGCCGTCTGCAAGGACATTGCCCAGGGGATGCCCGGATGTTTTGATGTTCTGCCATCCTTATGGAAGGCTTCTCTTATGTCCCAGCATGGGGAGCTGGAGTTGACAGAGGGAGCTCATCCATGTTCTCCCTGGATTCAAACCTGCGACCTATCTGCACAAGGGTGTAACCCATTGCGACACCAAGGGCTCCTAAGTATCACACTGAACAACACAAGTACAAATAGATACATAGTACTATGAGAAAGAGGAAGAAACCTGCTTAAGAATTTCCCCCACAGTATGTTATGCTGTGCCTTCAGTCATTTCCAACTTATGGCAACCCTAAAGTGAAGCCATTATAGGGATGTCTTAGCAAGATTTCTTCAGACGGGGTTTACCATTGCCTTCCTCTGAAGCTGAAAGAGTGTGACTTGCCCACCCATCTAGTGGAGCCTCCGGTGGCGCAGTGGGTTAAACCCCTGTGCCGGCAGGACTGAAGACCGACAGGTTGCAGGTTCAAATCCGGGGAGAGGCGGATGAGCTCCCTCTATCAGCTCCAGCTCCTCATGCGGGGACATGAGAGAAGCCTTCCACAAGGATGATAAAAAGATCAAATCATCCGGACGTCCCCTGGGCAACGTCCTTGCAGACGGCCAATTCTCTCACACCAGAAGCGACTTGCAGTTTCTCAAGTCACTCCTGACACGACCAAAAAAACCCATCTAGTAGATTTTAATGGCCGAGGAGATTTAAACCAATGCACACTGGTTTGAAGCAGTATACATAACTTTATACAATCTGTGTCATATTTGCCTTTATTTGCCTTTTTTTCTCTCAACTGGAGAATCTCAAATGCTGCTAATTTTCCTTGATCAATTTGGTTACTTTTTATGTACCTTCTCTAGCTCTATAAAGCAAAGTTGATCCAAACTGTATGCATGTGAACATTGGTACCGAGAAGCTGAAAACAGTTGCTACTGTGAAAACTAGATTCTTCTACTTTTCACAGTTGTGTAGAAGATGGAATTTGAGCAGGTGTGGCTTGTCACCTCATGATATGACAAACAACGCCTGCTGAAATTCCATTTTAACACAACTTTTAAGCATACAGAATCCGTATGCAGTCTTCAATCTGGTATAACGAGTTATCAAGTTTACTTGAATGTTAGGTGTTGATGCTCAAGGACCAGGATAGTGAACTGTATTTTGTGCTGAACTACAGCTCACAGCATCTCTCACTACTGACTACATTGGCTAGAACTGCTTGTACAGTAGAGTCTTGCTTATCCAACATAAATGGGCTTGTAGAACGTTGGATAAGTGAAAATGTTGGATAATAAGAATAATAATCATGTTATGGTTTTACAAATTAAGGATCAAAACATCATGTTTTACAACAAGTTGACACAGTTCAAGAAAGACCTAAAAACCTGCTTTTTCTGATGTGCCTTTGGCAAATGAATATATATTCCAGCTTTAATCTGTTCCCACTTTAGTGCTGTCCTCACAATGCATTTTCCCCTTGCCCTTAATGAAGGTTTAACCCCACTGTTCTTTTGGTCCTTTTGAGTCCCCCCCCCCCACCTTAAAAACACATTTCCCCTCAGAAATGTATTCTACTTATCTTATCCAGGGTTTTATTTATTTTATTTTATCAATTTTACTTTTAATGCATCTGTCCCACCCACTGTGTCCTATTTCTTTTCATGTCATCTTGGACCGGTTTATTTTATTTCGTTTTGTTATGTATTTATTTTCATGGTATTTTGCTTCTTTGTATTTGATTTGCTGTATTTGTATTTGTTTTGTTGTAATTTTGGGGTTGGCTTCATGTTAGCCGCCCGAGTCCCCTTTGGGGAGATGGTGGCGGGTTATCAATAAAGATTATTATTATTATTATTGACACAAAAGCACAGTATGTTACAGCAAACGAGATCTATATGCTGGATTTTGTATCACAAAATCAGAAGTCGAACACTTCCCAAGCGTCTAGGACTGTGTGATGTATTTTCAAATGATGCGCGCAGATCCAAGTAAGGTGGCCTTTTGCAGTTGACAGATCATGATTTTGTCAATGTTTATTGTTTCCAAATGCCAGCTGAGATCTTTTGTCACGGCACCCAGTGTGCCGATGACCACTGGGACCACCTGTACTGGTTTATGCCAGAGCTTTTGCAGTTCGATTTTGAGGTCTTGATAGCGGCTGAGTTTTTTCATGCTGTTTTTCCTCAATGCAACTGTCACTTGGTATGGCGACATCAATAATCCAGACTTTTTTCTTCTTTTCCACAATTGTGATGTCTGGTGTGTTGTGTTCCAAAACTTTGTCAGTCTGGATTCGAAAGTCCCACAGTATTTTTGCATGTTCATTTTCCACGACCTTTACGGGTTTATGATCCCACCAATTCTCCTCCTCCTCCTCCTCCTCCACCTCCTCCTCCTCCTCCTCCTCCTCCTCCTCTTCTTCTTCTTCTTCTTCTTCTTCAATACACTGTAACGTCATGTAGTAATTACTGTATTTATGAATTTAGCACCAAAACATCGCAATGTATTGAAACAACTGCGGATCCAGGCAGGAGGCAGACCGCATTTGATAATACAGAATGTTGGATGAGCAAAAATTGGATAAGCGAAACTCTACTGTAGTTGCAATCCAACAGCATTTGGACAGCTACTCAACTGATTAGAAGAGGCTCTTTGCAGGCCTGTGTATTTCCTTCCTCTAACCAGCATGATTCGTACAAGTTCCATATTCCTAGCCAGTATGTTGGCCCTATATTCAGACTCTCACACCCTCTTAAGAAAACAAACATGAATTTAGGGACACACCTGTTTGTGACATCCATGCTTCCCATGCCAAAGAGCGTGGCCCCAGCATCACTCCCATGGAGACGATACTACACATTGCACCACCTACTTAGAATCAGCTTCATCTATAAACAACATTCTTCTTTGCACTTGAATTATTTCAAACTATAGTTCTTTGTTCCATTCTATGGAATTCTGTAGTGTAGAAGTGGGTTAGTTAGATTTCTCAGCAAAAGTATTTCAGCAAACTACAGGTTCCAGGATATAATAGGATATGACCACAAAATCAGAGTGCTTTTTCTGAATCATGTTAGCTTAGCACTGATTCATGTTCTAGTGTGGACTGTGATCATGATGAGAGAACAGAGTTGATGCAGGAATGAGTAAAATGCTATCTTGAGGTATATGTGCAACATGCAAATCTGTTTTTCTCCTCTTTATTCTTCTATCATTATTTTCTATTCCCCAAATAGATGAACTGCGCTTTGATTCTTTCATCAGCCTCTTCTATTCCCACAATGAATGAATTGCCCCTCCAGAGGCCTATGGGAGAGGTGATTCACTTTTTAAAATATAATGCAATCTCCTTGCACAATTTAGCGTTGAAAATAAAACTCTTGGTCCATTCCACTACTATGTATTGCCAAATTATTTTTCTTTTTATATTCTCTGGCCTTTTCTCAATCTCTTTGGCCCTTGGCAGCTCCAGGGGCAGGAAATTATTCCCCAGACCCAACATGGTTATTCACACCCCATTTAAAAACCACCTTTTTCTATTATGCTACTGTCCCCATACAGCATGGTTCCCAACCTTTTTTTTTTTACCAGGGACCACTTGACCAGTGATTACTTGACCAGGGACTACTTGACCAGGGTTACAAATGTTTTTAGTCAACTTTAGATTTGGTTTGGGGTGCTGATTCAGCTCTAGTTTCTGATACAGAACATATGGTCAGCAACAGGGAAGGAGTGGCAGGTGTTGTGAAAAGGAGAGGAAATAAAATAAATAAATAGTAAGGAAGGAGACTTGCGGACCCTCGCAGATTTTCACCCTCGCAGTCCACTAATGGTCCACTGGGTTCCGGAGGCAAAATATGATGGTTTTTAATGCTATTTTAATGCTAAACGGCCCCAACCCAATTTACCTGTCCGAACACATCTCCTCCTATGAACTACCATGGAGATTAAGCTCTTCTGGGGAGGCCCTGCTCTCGGTCCCACCACTATCACAGGTGCGTTTGGCGGGGACAAGATACAGGGCCTTCTCAGTAATTGTCCCTCGGCTATGGAACTTCCTTACTAATAAGATCAGGTCAGCCCCCTCCCTCTTGTCCTTTAGAAGGATGATAAAAACGTGGCTGTGGGACCGAGCCTTTGGGGCTGTGCAATGAGGCAGCGATAGTAACCCTTAGTATGCCAACCAAATTCGATATGGTTGTTGAGACAGTTTTAACTAGTTGATTTTAACATCAAGATAAGTGATTTTAATGCTTTTGTATGTGTATGGTCTAATATGTTTTGGCATTGAATGTTTGCCGTTTATATGTTGTGCTCTGCGCTGAGTCCCCTTCGGGGTGAGAAGGGCGGAATATAAACACTTTAAATAAATAAATAAATAAATATTTTAATTTGTTATTGTTCTGTTTTTAATTATATGTTGCTTGGCTTTGGCCCCATGTAAGCCGACCTATGGGGAGATGAAGGCGGGGTAGAAAAATTAAGTTCTTCTTCTACCACTGCCCACAGGTTAAGAACCACTGTCGTACAGAATGGAAAACTTACCCATGTATTATATTACCTCCAGTTTGATCCTTAGTTAAGTTGGCTCTAATAGTCTTTCTATACTAAAAACACCAACCTGTGTTTACTTTCACAATGAACTAGATGACACTTGTTGCAGAACAGGTGTGACACATTCAGCAATATTTACTACCTGGACAGATGATTATGGAGAGAAGTCCACACAGTAACACCCTGAATTGGCATGCAGGGCAGACATCAGATGTTTTGTTAACTGAGATAGAAATAGTCAATCCCCAACCATTTGGATCTCCAATTACCCAAATACAGCCATGTTATCTTGGCACACAAGCCCGAAAATCTCATAAGCACCTCTGCTTGACAATAAAAACACAATAGTAGCAACGAGCCCCATAAATAATCATTTTGTTAGCCTTTCATGAAACACAACTCTTGCCTGAGGCAGTTGCCTCCACCTAATGATAGGATCAGTCTTGTTTACATGCACGCGGCTTAGAATCAAGGTGCATCTGTCTCTCATTCAGAAGGACCAGGAAGCTGACACTTTACTGCAAGTATGCACACACTAACATTTTCAAAAGGTATCTCTATGTGCTTGCTTCAGCAACACAGATTCTAACATTGGAATGATACAAAGGAGATTAACATGGCCCTGAACAAGAATGGTGTGCATACTCATGAAACATCTCTGATGCAATGTTTTGTTGTGGACACAGACAATAGAAATGTTTGCAAAACTGGAATGGTTACAAGTCTATGGGACAAAAAAAAAAAAGACAGGGATATTGCACCGGGATTGTGGCGCAGCTGGCTGAGTGTCAGCTGCATTAAGATCACTCTGACCAAAAGGTCATGAGTTTGAAGATAGCCCGGGTTGGAGTGGGTTTCCAACCAATTGTGTAGCCCGTTGTCGACCTTTGCAACCCGAAAGACAGTTGCATCTGTCAAGTAGGAAAATAAGGTACCACTTTAAAGTGTGGGGAGGCTAAATTAACTAATTTATGAGGCCATAAAAAAAAGACTTCAGCAAAAGCATGCGGGGAATGCGGAAGTACTTCATCAGTGTCGCAGATGGACGATGAAAGCGACAGCTCCCCTGGCGGCCAGAAAAAGTTAAATAGCCTCTGTCTATGTCTGTATATGTTGTAGGTCAAAATTGACATTGAATGTTTGCCATATATGTGTACACTGTAATCCGCCCTGAGTCCCCTGCGGGGTGAGAAGAGCGGAATATAAAAGCTGTAAATAAATAATAAATAAATACTGGAAATCTATTTTCTAATATCTGCCCCATAACATCCCTTAGCATTTATGTTACATAGGAACGGGAACCATTTTTTGGGCTGATGGATCCAAATTCCAGCTAGGAGAAGATTCTGAGGGATAGGACTAAGAACATCTGTGACTCAAGGTACAGTGGGTTGCAGCAAGTAAAACTTAGATTTATTTATTTATTTGGAACATTTATACCCTGTCCTTTCTTGAACTCCAAGGATGGACTCAGGACAGCTACCAACAGCAACAATTCAATGCTGAAACAATAAACACATCATAAAATACAATCAAATGCCTAAAAAGTAAATATCAATATACATTAAAACAGTTCACCAGGTTAAAACGTCATCCAAATCTATCCAAATTGTGTTCCAATAAAATCTCATCATTGCCAGTAAAATCAATCTAATCTGCAAACGCTTGCTCCCATAACCAGGATTTAAGTTTATTCCGGAAGGTCAAGAGGGAGGGGGCAGATCTAACCTCCTTAGGGAGGGAGTTCCACAGCCGAGGGGCTACCACAGAGAAGACCCTGTCTCTCGTCCCTACTAAATGTGACTGCAATGGTGGTGGGACCAACAGCAGGGCCTCCCCGAATGATCTTAAAGTCCTTGATGGTTTGTAGGGGGAGACACATTTGAACAGGTAAACTGGGCCGGAACTGTTGTACCGATGAGACATTCCTACATTCAGTATCAAAAGCACACATCTGTACTGACTCATGAGTCAGCCCCAGCACAGCAACTTCTTGGATTACTAGGCAAATCTCCCAATGCATAAATTCCTCCTTTTCCTCAGCAGATGACTGGGATCCCTGCGAGTCACACCTAACCCATCAGCCACAAGTATCTTATTTATTTATTTATTTCGCATATTTCTACCCCGCCCTTCTCAACCCCCGAGGGGGGACTCAGGGCGACTTACAAAAGGCACAATTCGATGCCTACACAATAATACAGATAAACATATATAAACAGCAATTAAAACAATTATAACAATTAAAAACAATCAATTATAACTCATAATCAATAAAATCAATCTCATGCTCAATGTTCGCCAGCTCAGAGTCCATTAATTCATTCCACTTTGTCCATTCCTATCAGTCATCGTTGTCCTTTATTTATCTGCCAGATTACCCAAACGCCTGGTCCCAAATCCATGTTTTTAATTTCCTTCTAAAGGAAAGGAGGGATGTCGATGATCTAATTTCCCCGGAGTGAATTCCACAGGTGAGGGGCCACCACCGAGAAGGCCCTGCTCCTCGTCCCCGCCAATCTCACTTGTGATAGAGGCGGGGTCGAGAGCAGTGCCTCCCCAGAAGATCTTAAACTCCGAGGTGGGATGTAGAAGGAGATGCGTTTGGACAGATACGCTGGGCCGGAACCGTATAGGGTTTTGTAGGTCAAAACCAGCACTTTGAATTGTGCTCCGAACTGGATCGGCAGCCAGTGGAGCTGACATAATAGAGGGATGGTATGCTCCCTGTATGACGCTTTGGTGAGTAATCTGGCTGCCTCCCGCTGGACTAATTGAAGTTTCCGAACAGTCTTCAAAGGCAACCCCACGTAGAGTGCCTTGCAGTAATCTATTCGGGATGTAAAAAGAGCGTGGACCACTGTGGCTAGATCCGACATTTCTGATGTAAGATTTTTGAATGAACCTCAGAAGCTGCAATACATCAAACCAGGGCACAGGTTCATCTCGTTCAGTAATATTCAGGCTGCCTGGCATCTCCCTGTGATAATATTGGTCAGGACTTTTCACAGTCCTGACCAATACATCACTTAGGCTGGCTTAATATATTTGGACTAAGTATATTAGAAATATTAATCATCAATTGAAGGGGAGTCAGGGTGGGAGAATGACAGATCATAAAGTTCAACATCTAATTTTACTTCACCATTGATAAAGGCTTTCAATCAGTAAACTTTCCTAGTCTTACACGAAGATGCCTGGCATTGAGCAAAAGTATGCTGACAAAATCTGAAATGGCACTACTATAACTGGACTTTCCCTGTTCTGGGTGGCAGATTTATGATGTCTCATCTTAATTAATGCAACCATGAATGTTCTACCAAGCTCAAAGTTTACAGAGATATTTATATACCTGCCTGTTGAAGTGACTATGTTACTTTTGAATGCATTGGATGATGTGGAAAAGGATGCTAATAAAAGAGAAAGGAGCAGCACCATATTTTTGTGTTAACAGCCAGGTATAAATTGTTTTGTATCAAAAAGCCTATTGCACGGTTTTATATTTTATATGCTAATGTTTTTATTTGTATTTTATATTGTTGGGGGGGGGGGGGAATAATTGCCCCTACCAGCACTGATTTAGACTATTCTCAGCAAGTTTTGCAATAGCCCTATTAAAGGAGACAGATGTTGTTATTAGCAGTGCATGCCGCAATAAATGATAGCAGGTATTTGATTTGATGTGAACACTGCACTTGTATTCTTTCCACTCTGACAGTGATTGCAACAGATCCCATTGTGAAAAGGTATCTGCTATCTGCAACTAATGTGTTCTAACACAGAAAACAGATTTTTTTTAAAAAATTGTGTCAGAAGCGAATTGAGAATATACTGCAAGTTGCTTCTGGTGTGAGAGAATTAGCCATCTGCAAGGACGTGTTATCATCCTGTGGGAGGTTTCTCTCATGTTCCTGCATGGGAAGCTGGGGCTGACAGACAGGAGCTCACCCCGAATTATGCATTCGAAGACGGATGTACGCAGGCCTTTTGCATAATCATCTGGTAGAGTGGCCATTACATGTTCACCATTAACTCCACACCTAGTTCTGAACTGTCTTTAAATCTATAGTTCTATGTTCTCACAGTCAAATGAAAAGAGGAGGAGAAAGATGGATTTTGTAACTGTTCTGTCCTTCAAGCTTTATATAATTTTGGATCCTAAACATCTGGCAGTCCGAAGACTGCTCTAAGCGAAACTATGATGCAAATTGAGCATGATTTTGGTACCTATTTATAGATCTACCCATTACAAACGAAGAATAGGCTAGATTCACCCTGCAAGTGACCTAGTTTAGCAGAGCAGTCTGCTTAATAGGACAGATCCCCATCTTCATTTACACACATTTAAAGGAATTCAGCAACATAAGGTAAAGGTTTTCCCCTGACATTAAGTCCAGCCATGTCCGACTCTGGGGGGTGTGCCATCTCCATTTCTAAGCCGAAGAGCTGGCATTGTAGACACCTCCAAGGTCATATGGCCATCATGAAGCGCTGTTACCTTCCCAGGGGAGCGGTGCCTATTGATCTCACATTTGCATGTTTTCAAACTGCTAGGTTGGCAGAAGCTGGGGCTAACAGCGGGAGCTCACCCTGCTCCCTAGATTCGAACCTGCGACCTTTTAATCAGCAGCTCAGGGGTTTAACCCACTGCGCCACTGGGGGCTCCTTCAGTGACATACCATTCTTATACTGAAATTCACAGCCATAGAACGGAAAAATGAGACAACAGTTCCTTTTTTGCTCAGACTGAAGGTAGTTGTCTTGGATCATGATTTTGAGATTAATCAGCCTATCCTTGTCTGCTTGGTACATATTCCCATGCAAAGCAATAATGTGACCCACGCATTCTTGTGAAATGTCGATTATGCTTGAAATTTCTCTGAGTGATACGACGATCATCTTGAATCAATTTGTCAACCTTTTGTTTGTGAAACTCAGTGGTTGCTGTCAAAGGATATCCAACTCTTCGTTTGTCATGCAAGTCAGATGTTCCCACCTCAACATCTTTAAACTTACTCTCCCAAATATGCACAGTACTCATATCAATACAATCAGCATAAACAGCTTGCATTCTCTGATTAATCTCCTTTGGGGTGACACCTTCTGTTGTCAAGAATTCAATGACTGCACGTTGCTTAAGTCGCATTGACCGACAGTCTGCGCAGGGTTCCATACTTTGCACTTTAACAACACAACTGTTCAATGCTAAGACTTCCGGTCAAAATGGAACTATAGAGGAGAGTCTACTGATCAAGCCAGTACCTGCCGCATAACAGTACTGTCATCTGTTGAGGAGTTACGAAGGTGGATGCATTACTTTTCATTCAACCCTCATAGTTTCTAAACCATGCCCAGTAGCAAAGAAAGTTTTCATGACTTCCCTTAGGGTCTCGACTGAGGATTTAATGCCAGGGATGTCTGCAATGCTGGAAAGTTTCCATTTGCAGTGGAGAACAAAGTTCAGGTTATTGATTCTTTCTGGGCATCAGGGATGAATGCATTTGTAATAGATTCCTGACAGACAGAGGCTTAAGCTTTAGCATTATTAGAGCCAGCAAGGACTTATGCAAATTGGTCTAGGTTTCATAACCTCTCGCACTTTAATTGTTGTTTACCTCTCCAGCAAGACAGGACAGAACTATTAAACTTGACCTAGATGTGACAGCAGAAGTT